ATGTTTTTGTTGTGCAAGTCCGCTCTTCATATTGTCTGCATTCTTCACTCTCCATCACTCTATGCAGTGTTCATTCAGTGAATACAGTACTAAAAAATAAATATTGCTATACATTTCAATAATGGCCCTCTAGGGGGCACTGATGACTCCATTAAGAACTTCTGAAGTAATAATAACAGGGATACTGAAATAGTTGGGCTGTTTAACAAGGCAAAAGTGGCTACTGGACCTTGAAGTGTGACTAAGGAATAAAAAACATGACAAGAACAAAAGTTTTAATTTAAATTTATATATAAATTTAAAACTGATACTTGATTATTAGAAAATGTTTAAGAATGATTGTAACAACTTGGATATGGGAAGCTATGTGGACAACTGTAAATTTTATGAAATCCCAATACAGATAAAATATTTCTAATTGCAAATTTAGTGCATTGATTGACATGTCCTAAGTATGGGCATTTGAAGATTTAGAAGGATAAAAAGAATGTAGAGTATATTAAGAATATAATTATTTTATTGGATTACATGTTGAAACAATAGAGGTTTGGATATATTGGAACAAGTAAATGTTACTAAAATTAATTTCACTTGTTTCTTTTTACTTTTTAAATGTTGCTACTTGAAAAAATACATATGTGGATTACATTGTATTTTTATTGGAGTGTGGTTGGATAGAGAAAACTCAGGGCAATTTTCAGCTTTTGAGATCTCTTTGTGCTTTCTATCTGATAGGGGTGCAGAGTAATTGAGAAGAGAAGAGAAGAGGAGTTACAATTAATTGCATGTTCTCTGCTGACAAACCAGAGGTACCAGGTATAGCATCTTCCTAATGGTGGAAAAATCTCAAGTGATTGTAAATTTTTAATAAAGTCCCAGATTTTGGCTTGAAGTTTCTGGCAGGATGGATGTTTTTCCACTACACTCAAACTCCTCTGGGAACATTTCCTTTACATTCTGACGTGGGAGTTTTGGCCTGTGAGACAAGGACTTGTGCCAGCCCTACTCAGAGGTGATGAGGAAAAGGCATTTCAAAGCATGAGGAAGATGGCCTATCTCTCTGTTCTGGTAATTTCCTGATAATGCAGGTGGTTAAATTTCAAAGCCAACTGAGGGGTCTCCTTTGAGAGCTTAGAGAAGCAGCTGCACAGGTAGCTAAGTTACATGCCAGCCATGGAGAGGCCTTGCTGATCATTATTCAGAAGTCTACTATAGGTTTTAGATTACTACTAGACTAGTTAGAATCTTTTTGTTTCACTTTTAAAAAAATGACTTATTCCCCACCCCCCAAGTTGTCTAGTTGATGACATGAGACAAACATTAACAATGAGAAGCATGAACTTTGTGTTCCCACTGGATGAGACCAGTGATTGACATTTTTTGGCTGTGGGCCCCTGAGCAGATAACAGCTTTTCTGAATTTCAGTTTCCAGTTTTCCCATTGATGAAATCCCTCTTTCTTATATAAGAAATGGCCAAGAAATAGACATTGTTCCTTATTATGGAGAAGGAGAAAGTGTAATGTGGGGAGAATCTTTAAGCTGCAAAACATCTTATATAGCATTTCTCAGACTATTTTTTTCAGGACACCAGTCCCAAGAAACAGAATTCCAATAATAAAAAGTATTTTGTAGATACTATATTTTGGAAATAGTACATACCTCAGTGGAGATCAGCAAAGTACACTAAACGTATTTAACATTCTGAGAAGACACCAGTTCATAGTGTAATCCAGCATTACCCACACTTTTTTTTACTAGGCTTTTCCATCCAAGAAATAGCTATTAGTTGTGCAGGCATAATGTGGGAAATGATGGTATGAGAGGAAAAGCCTTACCTTCTAGTCAGAAGCCTTTGATTGCATTTTCTGGATGGACTGGACTCCTTGACAGTTGTCGTGCAATGTGGGGAGAGAGAAGAGTGACAAGCCACCAGACTGTGTTCCATGCCATCTAGATCCATGAGGAAAATCCCACTGTTGAAGGAGCTTAGATAACCTTGAAAAATTAAAAAAAATGCACACGGGTGACTCGGTGATGGAAACCCAGGGGGATTACAATTGAGATGAAAAAAAAATGTACAAAATGATGTAAAAACAAACTGTATATTATTATTATTATTTTAAGATTTATTTATTTATTCATACAGAACTGCGGTACAGGCCACAGATGCAGAGGGTGAGAGGATTCACCAGGGACAGAGTGGGGAGCAGAACAGGCAGATCGACGAAATACACTGCTGAGGGAGCAGCGGGCGTGTCAAGAGAGGTCTGCCACACCATGTGGTCACCTCCGGGGCAGGTGGGGATCGAACTCATGCGGAAGTGGCTTTAGCTTCTTAGTGCTGTGCTTTAACCCGCTGCGCGACCAGGGAGGGCCAAACTGTTATATTATTTAAAAAAAAAAAAAAAAAAACGGTGTCATTAAATACCTTGGAAATTTCTATGTTGTCTGCTAATGGATCAGGGAAGGATATAAATTTAGTTTTGTTTCACTTTTTAAAAAAAACATTTATCTAGTTATGCATACAGAACTGGGGCACAGGTCAGAGGAGCAGGGTAGGTGAGAGGATTCAACAGAGACAGAGTAGGGAGCAGAACAGGCAGATTGATGAAGTACACTGCTGAGGGGAGCAGCAGGTGAGACAGGAGAGGTCTGCCACGCCATGTGGGTCAGCTCCCTGGCAAAGGATTGAACTTGTGCTGAAGCAGCTGTGACTGGCATTGAGTGCTGCGCTTTAACCTGTTGCACCACCAGGGAGGGCCCTAGTTCACTTTTTTTTTTTTTATTCCCTTCACTTATTTATTTATTTATTTATTTATTTATTTGTTTGTTTGTTTGTTTGTTTGTTTATTTATTTTTTTATTAAAAAGTTTATTTTTACATCATTTTGCACATTTTTTTTTCATCTCAATTGTAATCCCCACGGGTTTCCCATCACCAAATCACCCCTGTGCCACCACCATAGTCCCGTGCATTTCCCTAGTTCACTCTTTTTAAAAAAGAAAAACCCATGATGTCTTAGAACTTTCTACATATAATCAATAACTCTAATAATATTGTACTGAAACAGTATTTTGAAAAGACATGAAGGGCTGCATTTCTTACACACACAGTCTGCATAGTAATGCATGAGATTGGAAAGATATATTTAAATTATAAACCCTACTCTGACTGGAAATATGAGATGTGAACAGTACACAAATTGCATACTCAATTTGCAATAATTGCACAAGTCTTTCATCAAGACATAATCTCCATACCACCCTACAATACAAATAAAAATCAAGTCTAGCAAATGACACCCAACAGGGATAGAATAAAATTCTGCCCCCGAAGAAAATCCAGAATACACATGGGATGAGGAGACTGCTGCGATTTTGACAACAGAACTGTGAATGCTTGACTGAGGGTCGGGGTGGTGGAGGTAGATTAAACAAGGTAGTGGTGATAGAATCCAAAGGAATGGCTGCGGGAATAGAAGAAAGGTCAGTGGGCCAACAAAGTAGATCGTGATGTCATTTTGAAAATAAGGAGAAAGATTTACCCCCTACTGTCTTCCAATCCAACTCCTTTTAGATCTAACCCAAGGTACCTTTCATTTACAAGATTTTTCTCCAGTCCTTGTCTTCTTAGGGACCACTGTCTTCCCAGCAGAACTATTCAGGGAGTCACCAGCAGACAGTGTTCACCTTAAGCAGGAATCTGTTATATCTAATGCACTCAGTCTGCTTTCTAAACTGGACTGCAGGACTGTTACTCTCAAACCCTACATTTGTGGCTACTCTGACATTCATTCCAGTCACTATTTTAGTGTTGGATATTACTAGGTGCTGTCTACAACAGGTAGTGAGGATAACTGCTGTGTTTGTAAGTGAAATCTTAAAAATAGAATACTTAGGTCCTCCCTGGTGGTGCAGCTGGTTAAAGCACAGCACTAAGAAGCTAAAACCACTTCAGCATGAGTTCAGTCCTTTCCCTGGAAGTGACCCACATGGCTCAGCAGACCTCTCCTGACCCACTGGTCCCCTCAGCAGTGTACTTTGTCAGTTATCCTGTTCTGCTTCCCACTCTGTCTCTGGCGAATCCTCTCACCCTCCTGTACCTCTGGCCTGTACCCCAATTCTGTATGCATAAAAATAAATAAATAAATAAATCTTAAAAAAATAGAATGGGGGGTGGGGAGGGAAGTGCACGGGACTATGGTGATGGCACACAGGTGACTTTGTGATGGGAAACCCGTGGGGATTACAATTGAGAGAAAAAAAATGTACAAAATGATGTAAAAATAAACTGTTATATGTTCCAGTTATAAAGTGAAGCTGCCCTGCTTAACACAGGTGTAGAAGACCCAGCATCCAGGATCTCTGCCGCCTTCCATGTGGAGTTCCATGATACACACTTTGAGAACTGATGGTCTGGTGATGGGTTTTGGAGTCAGAGAGGACTGAATTTGAATTTCTGTTCTGTTGCTTGGATGTAATAGACAAATGGGGAAACTGCTCTGACCCCTACTTCCCCTTCTGTAAAACATGGATAGTAATTTCACTGTAAGGTTATTGTGAGAATAAATTAAGAGAATGCATGTAAAAATCTCTGGCACTATGAAATGATCAGCAATCATACCTGTGGGTAAGACTAAGACACTTGATAACTCAGAACGGGTCCTACTGAATTGCTACCAGTTTAGTATAAATAAACACACTCATGTCCAGATTATGAAAAGCCAGGGTTAGGGGTAAGTTATGAGTGAGATCAGGATTCAGAGGGCAATCTTGACTTATGCTCTAACCACTCTATAAACCCACAATCACCTGTCTTTGCATGGGGGTTTATCAATATTTAATGTGTGGGTGTCAGTTGCTGTAAACTGAGCCATACCCCATCATGGACTTGAATTAATTATATGCAGGAGGAAAGAAAATAAAATGCCTTTTTCTCCAAGTCCCAAGTTCTACTGGCGACACGAAATCCTGGAAACCATAAGGTGAAATTGCTGCTGATGGAGGACCCAGAGAAGAAGCTGAACCAGAAGAGCGATGGCAAACCCCGGAAAGTACGATTTAAAATCTCTTCCTCCTATAGTGGCCGAGTGTTGAAGCAGGTCTTTGAGGATGGGCAGGAGTTAGAGTCGCCTAAGGAGGAATATCCTCACAGTTTTCTCCAAGAGTCCCTTGAACCAATGGATGGTGTTTACGGGTCTGGGGAAGCCCCCAAGACCCGGCCATACTCCCCTAAGCTGACTGCTCAGAGGATCAGCGTGTTTAGAGAGGGCAATGCTTATACTTTGGCGGGCAGCCAGTCTTTCTTCAACGATTACAAGGCGAATGACCATAAGGTTGGTATTGTGCATGGTGTGGAAGCTTTACATGCTAAGATGTATTTAGAGAACTCCCTACATGTTTCAAATTTGTGTCTTGCTCATCATGCTCCCTGGTAGCAACCAGAGCTATAGGTGCAACAAATGGGTTGTCACTACTAGAATAGATAGCTGGGACAAAAATAACATGCTTGTTAACTACTTACTGGAAAGTGCAATAAGCATCCATAGTATTCAAATTTTACCTGGAGTAAAAATTGCAGTGGGGCTTTTGGCTCAGTTATCTTAGTAAGCTAATTAAATAGAGATACAGTGGTTTTTAAATTGCCAGACTGCTGTGTTAGAAAATGATGCAACAAGTTGTTTTATTTCCTGAAAAAGCTAAATGTTTAAAGGTGCTCATTTTATTCCACTCAATAATTCAACTTGCAGTTTATGCATGTCTTATTTCTATATCTCTCCTCATTTACCTATCTATCTATCTATCATTCATCCATTTTGACTTCCACTGTTCATAAGTATGGGCACTGGGCGGATGGAGTCCTGGAAAGAGATGATGAAAAGTAACACAACCAGAGGATGTGTTAATGTGGAGGAAGTTTGAGCAAATATTTCAACTGAAACATATATTTTATCTGGGGATTTCAATTATTTTTTCCCCAGTACCATGGATGATCAAAGGCCCATATGTGATTTTCTTTTAAGTTAGAAGAAACTAAAAAATGTCACCGACTTCCAGAAACTAACAGAAATGTGTATATGCACTGTGCCAATGGGGTCATTAATGCCTTTTAAATAAAATCAAATACAATTATATAATGTTCAAGGTTATTAATGACTAGCACACCAGGATGTGTTCTCATCTTTAAAGTGTGAAATTTAGATAATTACTCTAATCATTTTTATTGTTAATCTCCAACAGGAACAGATAATGCATCTATAGCAGACAAATGTATTGGTCATGCTGGCATTCGAAAAAGTGTAATTATGGGCATGTCCATATTTATTAAAGAATTCCGGGCTTCTTTTTGATATTAAAAGGGACTGGAATGAACAACCCCTTCTGTTAATGGAATGGTTTGTGTTTACAAAGCATGATCACACATGCTTTCATTGGGTCTTCATTAAAGCCTTGAAGAGAAAGGCAAAATACAGTGATTCTCATTCTGCAGATGAAGAAACTTGAACTCCTAGTTGATCAGAAATCGTCCATCATCATAGAGTAATAAGCTGCAGAGCCAGAATAAGAACACAAGTCTTCCAATTCCTCAGACTTTTGGCCCCACGGAATATTTCTTTTCAGGGACTATGACCATAATGTTAACATCTATTGAGTGCTCATTATATCTTAGGTACTTGGCTATATTTTGCACTTATATTATCTCTTTAACTAGTTCCTATTTGTTGGTTTAGAATTTACAAGGTCATAGCCTTTACAAATTTTCTGTAACACCAGGCTAGATATTATTGAACTCCCTGACCTTCATATATCACATGTCAAATTGACATTTATATTAGTGAGTGACTAGGCATACATATCTCTAAAACCAGACAACTGAATCTTCATGACAGTGAGGCACAGATGGAGTGAGCACAGTACCCTGACGACCATATTGTTTGGTTTCTGCCTGGCTGGTTTATCCTTTTCCTCTTTGTTGCCCCATCAAGTGACACATCCAGATCTTTGCCAGCCTCTGAGTATGAGTGGGTGGTAGATTCGTGCATCTCCACCTCATTCAGTAGCACAGAAACATGTGGTCAACCTGGCTGGTGAAAAACAAGGAAATGAGAGCTGGGAAGTTATGATTTTTAAATATTGAAATCAATTGTAAAATAACCACTATAGGCCCTCTCTGGTGGCGCAGCGGGTTAAAGCACTTAAGCCACTTCTGCATGAGTTCAATCCCAGCCTGCCCCGGGGGGAGACCACATGGCGTGGCAGACCTCTCCTGACCCGCCCGCTGCTCCCCTCAGCAGTGTACTTCGTCGATCTGCCTGTTCTGCTCCCCTCTCTGTCTCTCGTGAATCCTCTCACCCTCCGCATCTCTGGCCTGTACCCCAGTTCTGTACGAATAAATAAATCTTTAAAAAAAAATAACCACTATAAATATTGACTATTCAGAAACATGGGGTACCATTAAGCACAATAGGTATTTGTACACCAAATACTTCTGAACTTGACTAGGTATTTGTGCACCAATGTTTACAGCAGAGTAGTTCATAAATATCTGAAGGTAAAGAGAATAACTCAAAAGTTCATCAGCGGATGAACGGACAAACAAAGTGTCCTATATACATACAATAAAATACTACTGAGCCTTAAAAAGGAAAGAAATTCTGACACACAATACAAGACGTGAAGATATTATGCAAATTATATGACAATTGTATGATTCCATTTACATGAAGAACCTAGACTAATCAAATAAATTATACACACAAAAAGTAGAAAGTAGTTACCAAGGTCTGGGGAAAACAAAGGGGGAGTTTAATGGATAGAGAGTTTGTGGGAATAAGAAAAATTTCTGGAAATGGGTAGTGGTAATGGTTACATCAAAATGTTAATATATGTAGCCCCTGAGCAATACACTTGGAAGTGTTTACAATGGTAAATATCACATTAGGTATATTTGACTACAACAAAAAATAGTATTTTTTTAAAAGCAAGTGCACTGATGTGAATTGAATATGGGTTTAATTGGTTTAGAATTTACAAGGTCATAGCCTTTACAAATTTTCTGTAACATCAGGCTAGATATTATTATTTCCCTCTATCCATTTATTTGGTGAACTTGAACAAGTCTTACTGAGTTTCAATATCATCCTTGTGATATAAGGTAATAAAAATATCTACTTAGATTGTTATGGTGATTAAAAAAGATAATATGGAAGAAACATTTAGTATTGAGCCTGGCATACTGTATATGTTCAGTAAATGTCATATATTACTGCGACAATGACCAGACTCTTATTGAAGAAAAGTAGACATTTAAATTATGTGATGGATAAAATAGTTAGAAACAATCAAATATTATAAGGAATTTAAACTGAAGTTTATAGCATTCATTTAAAAAAATGGAAAGAAAAGGAAGAGAAGTAAAATTTCCTGAATACCCACTTTACATATATAAATATATAAAGATTAAAAAATATATGAATGTATATATTTTGTCATTTCAGCTTCATAATAATTCTATGAGAAAGTGTTTTTCAATTTGAAAAATGGAAGTTCATCAGGGTAAATAATTTTCAATATCACATAGTTGTCACATAACACTTGAATAAAATTTAAAGTCAGGCCTGCCTGTCTCTAAGGGCCATTGAGATTCTAGTAACCACCAAGGCAGGTCTGCATTTAAACACAGAGCTGGGGTAAGGTTTTATGGCACTGTAACAACACTGCTCAGGCACACTGCCATTGCCATCTGAGTATTTCTGAATGCTCAATCACACCGGCAGCCGGCAGCCACATAGGCACTATGGGAGGGAACACATATTCCTGGCTCCGCCCTGGCTGTCTGTACTGTCAGAGTGGCTGTTCCTCAGGGGACCAGGTGTAACCAGATAACGTGAACTTTAGTTACATCTGGAGGTTTCTTTGAGCACAAGGAAGAACTTGGCCATTGGGGTGAATGAAACTTAAACACACCTTAAAGGTGACTTGGGACCCTCTACCTTTGGTGTACATTAAAAATAAATTTGAGATCCTGGTGTCTATTGGATACTGACCAGTTTAGAGGCTGAAGTTTGGGCCAGGTGACTGCAGGGCTTTTTTTTTTTTTTTTTTTTAATATATCAAGAGTTTCGCTTTGAAAAAACCAGGTTTAGATGTGAAAAACGTTCCCTAGTAACAGAACCTCTTCAGTTATTACTGGAAGTGGAAATGGAAACTTACAAAAGTACCACCATTTTTAGTTTCTGAGGTTCAGAAACTGATAGTCAGGAGTGTGAAATAGGAACCCAGCTTGTATCAAACAATAGGCAGTGGAAGCTGCCACATGATCCCTTAAAGAGAGGGAGAGAAAATAGGGCTGGGGTGGGGGTGGGGGTGGGGGGGAAGCTTGTGGCTTCATCAATAATTTCTGAAAACTCCACGGATGTTACAAGGAAGGGAACCTTCATATTAAAGTAGTTTCAAGCCACGTTTTGACCAAATTCACAAGGGGCTTTACGTACAAGTCTATTTAACTGTGGTTTATACAGGTCTATAAAAGCAGGGCAAAATATTTTATGCGGAAACATTTAGTTGTATAGTATGATTGTGCATGCACCACTAAGGAACAGTTTTCAAGAACTGCAGTAATCAGCTCCACCGTTTGCACAGTACTCCAGCTTTTGCTCTGTATATGCTCTGTTGCTCTGTTGCTCTGTAGTATTCTTCCACCCCATGAAGTTGATAGAAGTAGTCTCAGGGGTGAGAGTCAAACATTTTAGTCAAAGGGATGTTGCTCAGGCAATCAGGAAACCTGCAGTGTATTAGCACCGTCTTGACAACTGGGGTCTTAAACATTTAACCCCCTAAATTTTGGGGCCTGGAGATGTTAGGGTCTCCGAAGAGAGGGTAATGTAACATGCCAGCACTCAGCAGTTTGAGGACACTGCCAGCTTACTGCCCTGTATGAAAGTATTTTTGAATTTTAATAACTAGTTTAACTATTTGGATCAGTGTGTTTTTACATGAGCAAATGGAGGTTCTGAGAGGTAAACTACTCTCCCATAAATGACCAAGTGAGTAACAGAATCTCAGTTTTATAGTGGAAGGTAGAATCCAATCCCTCTAAGCTGTCCTAGTTCTAGGAAGAAATAAGTGTTCTTGGTGGTCAAATAATCTCTAAACATCTCTGCTCAGCATTTTACAAACATTACTTTAGTTTCCCCCAAACATGCCTGGGAGGTAGATGTTGTCTGGTGGTACTGAAAATTTATTTACTCCTCAGCAAATGATTAAGTAACACATGGTATACCCATACAAGGGAACACAGCTATCAATTATACTATAGAAGTATATTTGTGGGCATAAAAGATTTTCATTTATCTGAATAAGGAAAAAATTAGAAAGGAATATGTAAGTAATGTATGTTTATACTTGAATAAATCAAGTATATACTAGTATAACAGATATATGAAGATAAATAAACTGATCTTATGAGTAGTGCGATGCAGGTGTTAAGAATATGGACTTCAGAATGAGATAGAAGGGTTTGAATCCCAGGCACAGTCCCAGAATGACTGTAACTTTGAGACACACTTAACCTCACTGAGACAAGTCCCCTCCTCTGTAAAGTGCAGAATGCATAACAGAGGCATGTCTGGGGGAAACTGAAGTAATATTTGTAAAATGCTGAGCAAGATGCCTGATGTATTACTTCAATACTATTGTCTATGTATCAAAAATTTGGAGAAATATTTATTTAGAAAAATGTTCCCTAGCATTTAGTAATACTCACTGTGCCCAGCCTTGCATCAACTGCTGTGCTATGTGGTAGCAGTAGAAGATCTGAACCCTGGCCTATAAACTCTTACTGTTTAGTTACTTCAACATTAATTGTTCAGCTTTGTTTGATTACCATCTACAGGAAAAGGAGGTTGTTTTTCATGGGTTTCAGAGGGGACAAACCAGGCAATGAATGATAACTTTGGGGTCTGCTGGGATTATAAGTGCTAACTGATAGAAGGCCTATTCTTCCATTTCCCTGTATTCAGTGATAAGTGTTGGGTCACCATGCTCATTTTCCATTTCTCCAGTCTCCACCTATTATAGATTTTGGAAAGATAATCATCTACACAAATAACTTGAAAATCATTCGAACCCCCATGGAGAAGAGAGACTTCATGAGAAAAATTCTCCAGAAGGAAGAGGAGGCTGAGGAAGAGTCTCTGATGAGTAAAGAAGAAATCTATGGAGAAAGCCAGAATGAAGGGCCTCTGCCAGGGACAGAAAGCACATTTCCCCATAACCAGTATCCACAGGTACGTCAGAGTAACTCACTGTCTGATCCAGGGCTGGGATCTCCAAATGATTTGGTTGTGCAAACTGTAAGAGCTTTTGAATATGAATACTTTCAATATTTAAATGTTAAGAATGTTAAGGAATTTCAAACTTAGCTATATTTTAATTGTACCTTGATAGCAATAAGTCGTAAGATCATATTTCCAGTAGGCATCATTAAATTTTTCTGGATGACTTCTTTTGAGATCTGATTAAGTACTCAGTTGTATGCAGTTAGCAATGTGGCTTCTGACCATCTTTCTTGAAAGATGGAAAAAATCATCTCTGTTCTTTTCCTATGGGTTTGGTAGTTCTTTTGTTGTTTCTCAGTCTAGTTTCTTTGAAGAAAGAAACTTGTAAAGCCATGTCATTAGATTTTTTAGAGATGCTTAAAGCTAAGCAATATCACTTATAAATCCATTAGACTTGGCATAAGTAAACTTTGATATGTTGCAATATGCTGAAAGTGATGTAATGAGCTGTACACCAGTCACTTTATGTAAAATGGATTCACTTACATCACACTTATTCCAGGGACCCTTGGATACCACATTTGTCTAGGGACTGCCTGTCTTTATGAATTATCCATGTCAACTAGTTTACTAAAAATTAGTATGAGAATTTCTTTTGAAAATATTTTTAAAGTCTTATATCTTACCTACTTTATAAATACTTTGAATGTATTTTTGCTTCACATCTCTCAGCAGTGTACAATCTTGCCTTGGAAACCACTGCTCAGATAAGCTCAAAGAGGGTAGAGTGATGCAATTGATTAGTTCAGAGAGTAGGCTTAAATGTAGGAAGGCAATTTTGATGAATTTAAGCTGAGAGAGTAAAATCTTGGGCAGTCATAGAAATGAATGTTCTTTCACTTCAGATTCCACTTTTTTGGGACTTGAAGCTTTCTGTGTAATAAATAGCATGACATAATGGGCTAGAGGCTTCCTTATACTTTAACGATGACCTGCCCTGGGCAGGTTTAGGGCATAGAAATCAGAAGGCCATGACTAGATTGCAGCGAAAGACCCTTAAAGTCCTGCTCAAAACCACTCCTGTCTCCAGCCTAATCTCACCTTCATTAAGCTATTTTTGAAATGAAAATTAATCATGCTACCATTTCATCATCAGTTTGCCTTACATAAAATTTTACATGGCCTCTCTTAGCCTGGAATAAAACCCAAATTCCTCATCTGTTCTAGAAAGCACTCTGTTACCTGGTCACTGCTGGCTCTTGAGCTGCATTTCTCCTCATTCTCTCTGTCCCACACATATTTAGCTACCGCTCGTATTTCTTTGCTCTTCTTTACTAAAGGCAAATTCCTTCTCTTTAGAAGATTGTCTGTAGTCCCCACCACCCTGCCCTCAGATGCTGGGATCTCAGTAGAAGCATCAAATCTCTAGGGGAGATTTCCTTGCTTTCCTTGAGAATAAATATCCATGGGACAGACCAGTTATGGCAATTCACAACCCTCTCACAGTTGAAAACTTACATGTATCTGTGTGATTATTTGGTCAATATTTGCTTTCACCCACTAGGACTAGTTTCCATGAGGGAAGCAGGGGCCATATTTATGTTAGGTTTAATAATCATTCGAACATATTTAAGAAATAAATCAACTGTCAAAAAAATAGATGTTCAGTAATTATTAGTTGACTGTTGGTGGAAAGAATTTTATAATTTGGGATCAGATGGTAAGATGTATTATTTCTGTCTTCTCTTGCTTTTTACATACCACTATTCAGAACCTACCACAGCAGCAGGCAGACAAAATTCCTACTTTGAAATTCATTGGTTCTGTTCTTTTCCATACTGCATTGTAACTTGCAAGAGAATGTATTTTTAGAAGTGGGCCAGTAATGATAAACTGCAGTTCACATCACACTGCAGGCCTGAAGAAAAACTAGCAGGTCTGATATGACAATTACCTTTAAATCCAATTTGGAGAGATTTGTGTTTTTCAGCTGTAATGCCAGACTAGGCCAGAGGTATGCAACAGAAAGTTGTCATGAAAGGTAATAGTTCACTTGCCTGTCGTTTAAGCTTTGTTTTAAGTTGTTATTTGTCTACCCAATACTTCATGCAGTTGATGTGCAGACAAGTTTTATTCCAAAAGAGAGGGTCAAAGATCATCAAGGAGCCCCTCCTGACTCAGAGACTGTTTGTTCTATTGTATTAACAGGGAAGCGGTAGGGACCTTGATGAAAGAGCAGGGCAAAGCTAAAAGCCAGTCACACTCAAACCTCTGTGTGAACGGTAAAAGGAAAGGAGAGGAATAATTGAACTGAGCCACAGTAAAACAGGGAGGGAGAGAAATTGACCTTGCATTTAGGGGATTTGATACCATGAATCATCTGGGCTTCTTTACATTTCATGTGGGCTTGCCTTTGAAATAATAGTAATAATAATAATAGCTGCTATTTACTGAGGGCTTACGATCATCAGGCATCATGCTCAGAGCTTTCCTTTCATTCTACAAGACCTTGGTGAGGTGGGTATTATTAGTAGCCTGATTCTAAAGCTGAGAAACTAAGGATCAGATTAGTTAAGTTGATAGAGGTTACCAGAGCTTGTAGTCAAACCCAGGTCCACCCAACATCAATTACTCTGTCAAATCTCTAGGTTAGTGCTGGTTAGCATCTCCAAAACTATATAAGCCCTTTATGTCTGTAATGAATTCAACTTGGAAAGATTCATTTTTGTTGATCATGGCTAATATGAAATGGTTTAGGTAGGTCTGTCAGGTTCTAGAACCTAAACTAAATGCTATGTAACTGTCCTATGTCCTCTTACTATTTATTTTTTGTTGAGAATAAATTAAAAAAATACTGAGGGTGGAAGACAAAAGGTTATTATGCATGTCTTGTATAGAGACTCAATACTTGCTGAATTAATTTAACAGTTAAAAAGAGCACGTTGAGGCCCTCCCTGGTGGCGCAGCGGGTTAAAGCGCTGCACTGAGAATCTAAAGCCGCTTCCACATGAGTTCGATTCCCGCCTGCCCCGGAGGTGACCACATGGCGTGGCAGACCTCTCCTGACCCGCCCGCTGCTCCCCTCAGCAGTGTACTTCATTGATCTGCCTGTTCTGCTCCCCACTCTGTCTCTGGTGAAGCCTCTCACCACCCCTGCTCCTCTGGCCTGTACCCCAGTTCTGTATGTATAAATAAATAAATCTTTAAAAAAAAAAAAAGAGCACGTTGAGGGCCCTCTCTGGTGGCACAGCGGGTTAAAACACAGGGTGGTTGGAAGAAGGATGACAACCAGGGAAAGGTTAAACCTCTAATAATGCATCATATATCCATATGACATTAGGTTAAGTTTGATAATTTGTTATTGTTTTTATAGTAAGTTTATGAGGTGATTTCATTAATCTTTCAATGTCTGACCTGACATCCTATACAAATGAATTTTGGATCACATGCATAGTATTATTGTACTTTTTTTATAAGGTTGACTTACAGCAAAGAAACATCACTGGATCAATTACAAAACATAAGAAATGGTGGGTTTGACCAAAACATGAACCATGACAATTTGCTTGAAGAATATTTGAGCTAATTATTTATTTTTAATCCCTTTAAGGGAAAAAACAAAATTTCTCCACATGCCATAATCAATAAAATATTAACAAGAGAATACACAGACCTCATTTGGATTTTTATTCATTGGGTAGTCACCTCCATTCCCTAAATTCAGAATAAAAAAATTGTTATCTTCTTAGGTACTATGCAGCATGATGGAGTTATTATCAGAACTCATACCTCCCTTTTTAGAGATTATTTTTAGTTTTAGGTTGCTTAAAAAAAAACAAAAACAAAAACCAGCTTTGTTATCTGGGTGGAGTGACCCAGTGGACTGCAGCTGGAGTTAGTTCCTAGAATTTAAGGACAGGAAGGGTCCTCCTTACATCATTGTTCTGTTTGTTCATTTGGCAAATATGTGAACAGCAGAGCCAGGCACTGCATTAGGTGCCCAGTGAGTGATGGTGAAAAGGACTAGCCCAGAGAGCTTCCTGTCTTGTAGGCAACTGTCAGTGGAGTAAGAGACCAGTGTTTCATATCCAGAAGTGTGGGTGAGCAAGGCTTTTGGAGCTACTGCTGCTAAGCTGATGTCTGAGAACAAGCAGGAGTTGGCTGAGTTGGGAGTGGGCAAAGGTCTCTTTCCAGCTGGAAACTAGTGGTAGAGAAACCAGAGGACAAGAACCTCATGAAAGAAGTAACTAAACATTTAAATCAGCTAAGATTTGATTTTAAACTAAAGTTTTATCTGGAGGGCAAATGTTCATTAAAGGGTTTCTTGAATGGTTTCTATGTGGCAATTACAGCTGTAGGCTGCTTGATGAGATTGACATGAATGGAGAGAATATTCCACAAGAACAGAGCCAGGGTGCATGATGAATTTATACCTGAGTTGTGGTCATCTGGACTAGGATTGTGGGAACAGGATGGAGAAAACTGGATGGATTTGAGAGATGTTTCAAAGTCAAAATGGACAGAACTTCATGCTGGATACACCTGATCTGACTTCCTGGGGTTCCTTCTGTCTTGGAAGGCTCATGGTCTATGCAAAGCCTTTGCACAGAATCACAAAGATTGCTAAATTTCCCTGAGCTATTTAAGGGAAGAACACAACAGTAATTAAGGGACATTTTCTGGAAGGTAGGGGTTGAGGATTGGAGACTTAGTAGCAAGATTTAACTTTCACAGAGAATCTATAATCTGCTAAATGTTATATTATGGTATTAACATATTCTCTCTCTTAGTATTCCAACTACCCAAGGAGGTAAGTATTATCATTCCCATTTCACAGGTAAAGAAATTAGGTTCTGGAAATGGTAAGGGACACATCCAAGGTACAGCTGATGTCAGAGGCAGACCTCAAACCCAGGCCAGACCTCCAACATAGAGCTCTTAGTCACTGGGGCTGAGCATAGTTCTCAAAGATGATGGAGTGCTGCAAGAAGTCAGAGCCAGGGTCCTAAGGACTATGACATTGATTCATTCATCCATGTGCTCCCTCAGTGACACAGAATAATTTTTCTTCAGTGATGACCGTTAGACCACTACAATGAAGGGCTGGGCACATAGTCATTAGAAACAGGAACTCCAGTGCTCAACTTTTGGAGTGCAAAGCCTGCCTCCTCTTGTAAGCCATGTGACCTCTGGCAAAGAACTCAACTCCTCATTATCTTGTATTCTTATGTGTAACACAGGGATGATAGATCCCTGTCTACCTCCTGGGATGATGTGAGGATTAGATGGGTTGACATAGAGACAGCTCTTAGAACAGGCCTGGCAGCCCCTGTGCAAGCTAACAAGTGTTTGCTGTTAGTATTTGGCAATGAGGAAAATGAAGTCCTAACCCTCATTCAGCATCCAGAAACAGCAAGTGACAAGGGTGAGGAAGAATGGCAAATCCAGAGATGCAAGACACAGTAGGAGGGGCTCTTAATGTAGAGCTCTCCATCAGGGAAGTCCACTGATATAATTGCTATGAATATTCCATGCCTCTGGCCAGTTCCCTTATTGGCATTTGTGGGAAGCATTTTCATCTAATTCTATCCCAGCCTGGGAGGCAGCTCAGGGCTATTTTGACCTGCATATGAACAAATGTAACTAAACCCTGACCTGTCTCTTGCAGGAAGGGGAGATTCCTGAGGACAACTGTTTTCACTGCCGAGGGTCGGGCAGTGCCACCTGCTCTCTGTGCCACGGCAGCAAGTTTTCGATGCTGGCCAACAGATTTAAGGAGTCCTATCGGGCCCTACGGTGCCCTGCATGCAACGAGAATGGCCTGCAACCTTGTCAGATTTGCAATCAATAGCTGGTGGCTTCCTGTGTCTGATTTTATCACACACTCTCCAAAGTTAATCCTAATAAACTGGCTCCTCCTCCTCTTCTCTTTCCTTCTCCTTCTCCCTCTCCCAACAAGAAAGCTGCAGAAGCTGTGATAGCTTCCTCCGCTGGCAAAACTCAATTACTGAATGGCATTTTGTGAGGCAGCTAAAGTCTCTGTGTGGGTCTAAGTGTCAGTCATTTATGAATTAGAATCTGTTTTGAAAATGGTTCAGAAATTACCCTTCCAGGAACAAGTGTGTGTATCTCATTTAGTTTTCTTCTTGTGCATGCTAGTGAACAAATAAATGTACACTTCAGGCAGCAAGTTGAAGTTATTTTCTGGTTGGAAGTTATTTTGCAATTATGCAAGGAGAAAGGAATACAAAAGGCAGGTTTCTGATGAACTGAATTCTTGTTGCTTAGAATTCCTTTCAAATCATTATTGGTCAAATTGAATTTTTAATTAAGCAAAAGCATAAAGGGTACCCAGTGTCAAATGCACTGAAAATAAAGCTGAAGATAGGCAAGTTGAGGAGGCCTTTCTTTAAAAATCCTGAATTTCTCCTGTGTGACATACTTGGGTAATATGAATGCAGGCAGTGCATAATACTGCTTCTTAGGATGAGATGAGATAAGACATTTTTGCATGCCTTTGAACTGCTGAGGTTATAAGCCAAGTCAAAGCTATTTATGACAAATTTGGTGCTGAAGTACGTGTATGATATGACTTCTTTCAGTTCCTGAATTATTACTAAACAAATAAATCTATTTTAAGCTAAAGTACAGCTACAATCTTTTCATAAAAGACAGTGGATGTTTTATAAGTATCTATTGGTAATCACTAAAAGAAAAGCTAGCCAAAGCTGAATTTTAGCAATTCAGCTAAAAATTTATGTTTCTACTTTTAATGAATACATATAACAGAAATAACTCTTTCCACTTAATGTTGGTTATAAAACTAGAAAAAATATTTGCAAATGAACTTTTGGAGCACTAACATGCACTCCCCATCGCCCTTGAGAATAATACTGTACAATGTGTTAGCTACTGAGATAAATTACTTTTCTATAATAATAATTTTAATTTTCATAGCAATAATTTTTTTCAAGGTTTTGTTATTCTCTAATAATTAGCTATTAAAATGATACAATAGTGGAATGCTTTTCAGGCGATATAAATACTTCTAATAAAAAGATTAAAATATTTTTCAAAGTCATGATGATTTTGGCAATAGTCTCCTTAGCCAGAACTACAAAATTATTACTCACTTTCTTTGCTGAACTATCTCCTGTCTCTCCTGTTGTTTTCTCAGTTATTCACTCTTATATCATTCCAGGATATCAGAGGTAGGAATGATGCTGAGAAGCCTTGAAGTATATTCACCTGCTTTTTGACAGGGAACTTAGAAAAACAAATGCTGCTTGGAAACTGCATGAAGGACATGCCGACACCCTACTGGGTACAGCAGGTACCTAGTGGCACTTAACAGTCAGTGGAAGAGTCAGAAGTATAAGCAGAAAATGACAGCATCAAGTGACAGGTTCTGGGACAGGGAACTAGCAACCAGGTTGAGGCACACAGAAGACACCTAACCTAGGCTGAGTAGAATTGGGCAGCTCCCCACAGGAAGAGATGTGAGCAACACTGGTGTCCTTTCCTTTCTCCATTCTCTTAAGAATGTTTAATGTTTCCATCCTGAAACAAATATATCTACCGACGATTACACTTATTTATTCAGTTAGCAAGTACAGGTTGAGTACTAGGGGTTATATCACTGGACAAAACAGATAAGATCCTGACTCCTATGGAATTTACATTTTAGCAGGGAAATATGACAGCTAACTATACATATATATGTATAGTCATAAACATATGCAAATAAATACAAAATATAATAAATATAAAATAAAACCTAGTTACAGAAAACAACAAATACATAATGTAAAGTATATTTATATATGCGAAAACTATACATTACATATAGAGAGTTAGAAAGGGAGAAGGCGCTGGTGAAAAACAACACAATGGCAGGATTGCGAGTTGGGAGGGCTAAAATTTTAAATTATTTTCCAGGGAGGTGTCATTGAGAAACCCTTTAAATAAAGGTATATGGGAGATAAGGGAGTACGTTGTGCCAATACCTGGGGTAACATTTTTCAGGCAGAGGACACAAAGTACTAGACTTAAGAAGGAGAACTGTCCTGTTTGAAGCACAACAAAGGAACCAAAGTCTCTGGTGTACAGTAGGTGTGTTGTAGGGAATGAGGTAAGACAGAAACACATGTGTGCATGTGTATGTGAGCGTGCATGTGTGCTTGTGTGTGTGTGGCCTGTCTGCCTGGGGCAGAAGACCCGCAGACTACACTCCCCAGACTCCCTAGCCTGGCTTCCTGTCTGGTGCTGCCCAGTGGCAGGGCTGGAGGAGGACAAACTTTCTTGGGTCCTGGCAACCTTTCCCGGCAGCTGCACTGCAGTAACAGAAGCTGCAGGCAGCTGGGTTCCAACAGTAGTCACTTCAGACTGTGAATTCCATGTAATACCATCTCTCTTCAGTTCCTCCAGCCTCAGGGTGGAAGTATTTTTACTCCAGTTACTAATCCTTGTAATCAGCTCCCTATAATATATGCCCCTCTCTGAAATCTCTAGAGTAATTCTTGTTTCCTGGTTGGATGCCAACTGATACAAATGTTTTGAGCAGAGGAAGTTCATGATCTGGTTTATAGTTTAGCAAGCAACTCCGGCTGCTATGTTAAGAAAGGACACAATGGGGGCAAATGTGGCAGTGGGACGCCATGTAGGAGACCACTGCAATTGTCCCTGTGATGAATGGAGACCTGAGCTAGTGTGAGCCAGAGGAAGTGGTGCAAAGCAGTCAAATTATGGCCACATCTCAAAGGTAAAGTGACAGAGCCTGCTACTGTCAGAAATAATTGTTTTTGACTCACTGTATGCAAAACTTATCTGAGTTCTTTGCTTACCCATGGAAATAAATTTTCATGGAAATATCTACTTTCTTATTTGTGAAATATAACATTACCAGTAAGTTTAGCAGGGACAGGGGCGAGGTTAGACAATGGAACTCCTAACACTACAAAAATTTCTTCAGACCTAAAACAAATATGAAGGTTAAAAAATAGCTCAGTGATACTGTGGTTAAAATAAGGCGATGTCCTTTGAAAGCTCAAATTTTTTTGAATGAATACATATCCACAAGAAAAAAAATACATATGTAACATTCATCTACTCATTCACTTTTCACTGTGCAAATTTTTCACTGAATTTCTGCTATGTTCCAAGCATTTGTATTATGTTCTGACGATACAAAGATTTAAAAAGACAGCATTTCTCATTAATGAGATGGTCATTTTAGGCCTTTTGTCAGTAATGATACATACATTCGACCTTACAATTTAGGGGGCGGGCACTGTTGTTGCTCTCAGTCACTTATGCCAGTGACTCTTGTTTTCTCTGAATGGCCTGTTTGCCATGCCTGGTGTGGGGCCTGCGTTACACCCTCATTTATTTTAAGAAGCCTTACTGCGTGCAGGACACTATTCTAAGCATTTCATACTTACCAAGTTTTTTAATCTTACCAACTTAATTCAGTTCATTGATCAACTCTTAATCCCGCGCATTGCTATTCCTGTCCAGGTCACCTGCACACAGACTAAACACATGCAGGCCTTTATGTGAACCTCATAAATAACTTGCCTTACTAGGCAAGTTAAGCAATTGCACTGAAAATGGAGGAGTTATCTATAAGCTGATACTACATCATAGAAGTGAGACAAATTAGCAAGATGTCTTTTGCTAGCTGGTCTGGCCACTTTGTCTTTACCTCTCCATCTTAGTTTACCTTATTCTTATAATTACTCTGTTAGGCTGAATAACTAATCTTTGTGGTCCTTTATTACCAAATGTGGCTTAACCTGCAGGCCTATTTACCTTTCACACACAAAGGTCTACAGAGCCAGCAGGTTTCTTTTCACAGACCCCATCTTTTATGAACAGCTTGTGATTTAAAATGACTGTATCTCCCCCTCTCTATGTAGGGGCTTATGTGGGGCAGAGAGACCAAAGTCCAAAAGACTTATTTAAACCTTTGCCCTTAGAACAATTCTACTTTTTTTCTCCCCTGTGTCTATTTTGGCTTCCAGGTAAGGTCCCTTTGGAAAAGAGATTGCATATTATTATTATTTTTTAAATACATTAGTAATTAACATTGTGACCCATAAGTAAACTCTCTAAATTGAACAGGCCAAAGACATTAATTAAGCTTAAGTTTATAGGAAAGATGATGTTATTCTTATTCTAAGTCTTCCATAAATATGAATCACTGTGGTAATGTATTCATTTAATCTGGTACCAATGACGTTTACAAAAAATTTATGTGGTTCACTAGGGCTTAATCTGAATGAATTTTATGATAAAAGTAAATTTGAATGTTCGCAGTTGTTTTTATCACCTGTTCTCATTAGCTGCATTAGTTGCATCTCCTCATTTTCTAATTAAATACAGTAATTATAAAGAGTTCACATTCATGCAATTATGTGAGAGAGAAATGGAGTTATCTCATTGTCAGAATTATGGCATATAATTACTGTATGTGTTAAAGAACATGTAAAACTAGAGAAGGAAAGGTCTTCTTCATTGCTGCGAGGACGGGGGAGAAGAATGAGGCAGTGAATTCAGGCCTAGATAAAGCTAGAGTCAACATTTATCTTTTTTAACAGTACAAGCTTCCTGTTCACACGGTACTTTTAGCAGTACTTTCATTGAATTCTTAAGTATTTTCCACCCATTAGTGATTATTTCTCAGACAGAGGCCATTCACACTAACCTGTAAATGGCTAATAGATCATTGACTATGCCTTGTTTTTAGATTCAAAGTGTTACATTTTTGAAGTATTCCAATATTATATTTTTGAAGTCAGGTTATATGTAAGACTAAAGGAGTCAGAAGATGATAAGTATAGCACCTTCTCT